ATAAATAAAGAGACATTCTGATAATGGATAGACTCAATATTAAGCTGCCAATTTTCCCCAACCCGATCTACAGATTCAATGCATCCCAATCAAAATCCCAGCAAGTTATTTTGTGAATATTGACAAACTGATTCTAATGTTTATATAGAAACACAAAAGGCCCCATTTAGCCAACGCAATACTGAAAAAAAATAAAATTGAAGGACTACTGTTACTCAACATCAAGACTTATTATAAAGCTACAGTAATCAAAACAGTGTGGGATTGGTGAAAGAATAAACAAACAGATCAATGGAACAGAAAAAAGCCCAGATAATGACCCACACAAATATAGTCAATTAATCTTTGACATAAGAGCAAAGGCAATTTGATGGAGAAAGAAGTCTTTTTAAGAAATGGTGCTAGAACAACCAGACATCCATTTGCCAAAAAAAAGAAAAAAAAAAAAGAAAAAAGAATCTAGACACAGACTTTCTACTTTTTACAAAAATAACTTTAAATTAAATGGATCATAGATCTAAATGTACAGTGCAAAACTATAAAACTTCTAGAAGATACCATAGGAGAAAATCTAGGATCTAGGTTTGGCAATGAGTTTTTAGATACAAAACTAAAAGCATAATCCATGAAAGAAAAATTTTGTTAACTTGGATTTTCTTAAAATTAAAAACTTCTGCTTTGCAGAAAAACACTGTTAAGAGAATGAAAAGATAAGCCATAGACGTGGAGAAAATCTTTTCAAAACACATCTCCAATAAGGGCTTGTATCCAAACTATACAAATTAAAAAAACTCAACAATAAGAAAACAAACAACCCAATTTAAAAATAGGCAAAAAAGGAGTCCGGTCAAGATGGTGGAATAGAAAATAATACTGAATGTGAACTGTAATTGAAAAAAAAAAGAGCAAAAGATCTCAACCGACAAAAAGAAGATATACAGATGGCAAATAAACATATGAAAAGATGCTTAACATAATATGTCTTTAAGGGAATTGCATATTAAAACAACCGTGAAATACCATTACACACCTGTCAGACCGGCTAAGATCCAAAACACTGACAACGCCAAATGCTGGTGAGAATGCAGAGCAACAGGGACCTTGGCTCATTGGTACAGCCATCTTGGAAGACAGTTTGGGTTTCTTGCAAAACGAAACATTCTTAACATATGATTTAGCAATCGCATTTGGTATTTACCCAAAGGCATTGAAAACATGTCCACACAAAAACCTGCAAAAAGGTATTTGTAGAAACTTTATTCATAATTTCCCCGAACTGAAAATCACCAAAGACTCCTTCGGTGCATGACTGGACACACAGATTGTGGTACATCCAGACAAGGGAATATTGTTCAGAGATAAAAAGAAATGAGCAATCGAGCCACAAAAAGATGTAGAGGAACCCTAAAAGTATATTACTTAGTGAAAGAATCCAATCTTAAGAGGCTATATACTGTATGATTCCAACTATATGACATTCTGAAAAAAGGCAAAACTCTAGGGACAGTAAAAAGATCAGTGGATTATCCAGATTTCATTAACCAATGTCACCATAAAAAATAATAAAAAAAAAAAATCAGTGGCTTCCAGAGTTCCAGGGGAGGAGGATAAGTGGGTAAAGCCTAGAGTATTTTTAGGGAGGCGAAACTATTCTTTTACATTGCTACACTGGTGGACACAGCCATCATGCATTTGTCAAGACCCATAGTACAGTACAAGGGAAAGAATGAACCTTAATATAAACTACAGACTTTAGTTGATAATGATGTATAAATCTCGCTTCATTAATTGTAACAAACGTACCATGATTAATGCAAGATGTTAATAATAAGAAAAACTGTTATTAAGGGGAGGGAGCATTTTTATTAATTTTTTAAAACCTGAAGGATAGGCTTAAAGACAAGCAAGCCGTTGTGATGTAATATGAGCTGAGCTTGTATTGAGGCAAATACTTGCGAAGGCCCTTGGCTGAGGGCCTGAGGTTTTATTATTTTGGGGCCACCAGGCCTCTCTCCAAGGCCTGACACAGAGCAGTCCCTGATAAAGTTTGGACAGCTTAGGCAAGAACTTGAATAGTGGAACTGTATGCAAGATGACAAACTTCACATTTATTCTCTCTCTTTGACCTAAGGACAATGCTGTTTTCTTTAACTCTTTATTTTGACATAATTTCAGACTTACAGAAAAGTTACAAGAAAAGTACAAAGAATTCCCATATTCCCTTCCCCCAGATTTCCCAAATGTCTTCATACCTGACCACATCTGTTCTCTTTTTCTGCTTTTTCAGTTTCCATCCCCATTTCACAACCAAGCAAGCAGGCCGACGGAACAAGTTCTGATCCGGCTTCTTCCTCATCTCCATTCTGATAAGAACAACAATGGGCATTGACTGAGTGCCTAAGATGCGGCAGGCATTGTCCTTGGCACTTTTCATGTATTTCATCACTCCCCCCTCAGCGAGCCCTCATCATCCCCACTTTGGAGATGTGGAAGCTGAGGCACAGGGACTGATCCAATTTACCCAGAGTCCTAGTAGTTAAGTAGCTGAGTTGGTGTGCGGACGCAGGGATTCTGGTGGCAAGTGAGGAAAGAGCGAAGAGTGACTTAAAGATGCAGAGAACAGGGTAGGAGCCCAATCTGGGAGGCCAGTAGGGCAGACAGCCCAGGCCACACATTCCCAAAGTGAGACTTCTGCTGTTGTCTCCAGATGAGATTGGCTTCAAACTCAGACACCAAGATGTGACAGAAAGTTTCTTCTTTACGAAAAGAAGCTGGAAGTGTTTATTCTAAACTGCTCAGGGTTCATATGTCGACTGTGTGGAAGTGCATGCATGTGTGAGTAATGAGTGTGGGTGTGACTGCAAGTGTGTAAGGGAGTGAGTGTGTCAGAGGATGGTGTGTGAGTATATGAGTTTGAGTCCATGTGTGGCTGTGTAAGTGTGAACATGTGGGTATGTGGATAAGTGTGAGTGGCTATGAATGTGTATGCTATCTAAATGCCTGAGTGTGAATGCATGTGGATGTGAGCATGTGAGTGCAAGTGTGTGTGTGAGGGTGTGAGTATATGAGTGCCAATGTGTTTGGGCAGGGAATCTATGAAAGGGAGCGACTGTATATGTGGGTGAGTGTGACTGTGTGTGAGCTTTTCCAGGCAGAAACAAACCCTTCTCCATGAAGCAACCCGCTGTAGCTGCCGGGTGTGGTCTTTGTGGAATTCCCATCTAACCTGTGGAATTCACACCTGGTCTGGCCAGTTCCTACTTCCTCTGGAAGCCCAAGCTCCCTGGTCCTTCCTGAGAGCTCTCTCCTGTCCCCTTTGCTGCTCCAGCTTTCATTATACTCAATTGCTTGTGTCTGTTTAGTTGTCAGGGCCCCAGCCAGATCCCCAGGGCTAGGAAAGTTGGGGCTGGGTCTGTCTATTTCTCTCTTTCTAGGCCCTAGCTTAGGACCTGGCACATGGAGGCATCAGTAAATCGATGCTGAATAATCATAGTTTTTCCACCCTTCAGGACATGGCTCACCTCCAAGTGTTTGCTCGTGTAGTTTGCTCCACCCGAATGCCTCTTTTCCCTCCCTTTTCTCCAATGACTCCGTTCAGAGACTACTTTCAGGAAGCCATCCCTGACTCCTAGGACTGAGTCACATACTTGAGGGTCAGTGGCTGTCTTGTCCACTGGTTGTAAGGTCTCAGAGGGCAGAGCCTGTGTCTGTTTCATATCTTCATATGTGTGTTCTCAGTACTTGTTAGGCACACAGAAGGGCCAAGAAAGAATGAGCACGCGAAGAATAATGAAAGAGAATTGAACTACTGAGCCCTCTGCCCTAGGAAGCCAACCTGTACCAGAGGCTTTGCTGCTTCCCTGGCTTGCCCTCACCACAGCAATCCCACTGGGCTGTCCTTGGCTCCAAGGAGTTTGCCTCCATTCTCAGACCAAGATCTGCTTGAGGGCGAAGTGGGGTCAGATTACTATCTGGGTCCCCAGCACTGCCAAGCCTGAGTCTGCACCTCTCCTACCTCACTTCCTTCTGCCTTCTCCTCCTCAGTGCTCTCCAGCCAACCTGGCCTGCAGGCAATTCCTACAACACGCTAAGTTGATTCCCACCCCAGGGCCTTTGTACTTGCTGCTGTCTCTCCCGAGTCTTCTCCCCACATCCTCTTCAGATTCTAAGCTCAAACGTCTCATCAGAGACACCTTCCAACCATCAGCCCCACTGGCTTAATAGGTCGTGCTCTGTTTTACTTTCTTTTTGGGACCTCTTATTACCCCCCAGTATTTTTATTCATTTAGTGTTTTTCCCTACCTTCTGGCTACATCAGGGATGTTATTGTTTCCCGTGGTTAGTAGTCTGTAGAGCCTGGATTTGAATGCCACATGTGCTGTGTGAGTCTGAGCAAGTTTCCCCTCAGAGGTTCTGTGCCTCAGTTTCCTCATCTGTAGAAAAGGGTGATGGTAATAAGGGTTGCTGAGAGAATTAAATGAGTTAATGATACATGCAGTGCCTTAGCACAGGGCCTGTCATGTAGTACTAGCTATTGAAGGGTTGTTTTGCTATGCAAATTTTTCTGAAGCCCAGCATATTGTAGGCGTTCAGTAAACATTTGTGGAAGGAACGACACACTCGGGCACTTAGATTGGGCTGTTGGGAAGGGGAGAAGGATTAAAGTTGCCCAATCCCCTAGCTCCAAATGCACCTGCCACCTGCCGGCTCACCCAAGTGAGGCGGGGGCAGGGCAGAGGGAGGGACGGAGGGACCGGCCAGAACCAAATCGTCCGACAATCGTCCGAAAATCGTCCGAAAATGGGATTATCTTCTGAGAGCACCTGGGAACTACGCCCAGTTCTCCGCGGGGCGTGACCTCCGGCTGTTTCCGGGGAGAAGGCGGCGGGGTAGGGAGTCTAGAAGCAGTTAGCGGCGGGGTCGGGGGCGGGGCAGCCGAGGGGAAGCGGGGGTGCGCAGGCGGGGCGGTGCATGTAAATCCGGGGGCGGGCGCGGGGCGGGGCTCAGGAAGCCGGCTGGCTGAGTCCGGCGCTCAGGAAAACCCCGAGCGGCGCCGCCTTCCAGGCCTGGCCACCCCGGGGTCCCCACTTTCCGCTAGGGCTCCAGCTCGGTGAATGGACCTGGAACGCACAGGTAGGATTCGGGGCCGTGAGCGCGGGTCGGAGACGGGAAGGCGGGCCAGGTGGGGGAATCATCGCCGGCACTCAGCAGCTTCGGAAGAGTGCTGGGCCACCAACGGGGCCCCAGGCAGGGTGTCGCCGGGACCTCCCCGACCCGCGCGGGGACCGCCCGCGCACAGAGAGCGCCCGGCTCGGTCCCTGTCGCCCAGGGGCAGCCAAGGTGGAGCGCTCCTGGGTGCTCAGACAGCCGGTGCACCCCCCAAGCTCGTGCTGTCTGAGATGGTCGCTCGGGGGCTTGGGAACATCCGGAACGTGGGGTAAGGCAGGTCTTGGGCCACGCAAGGCCCTTCTCTGGGCAGTGAGTCACCTCTGACCCCACCCACAGGGAGTTGATGAGGTTTTGGGGCCGAGAAAGGATGGGGAAAGTTTTGAAAACTGAAATTTGATACTAGGTCAAGGAATCTGGGGAAACAAGGCCCTTTTCACCTTTGGTCTCCTTATTTGAATATTATTGAATGGACCCAATACTAGCGATCATTTTCTGGGTCTTATTTTCTGCAGGCTCTGTTCTGAAGACAAAGTATTCCGAGTTAAACCTCAAAATAACCTTTCTGGTCGTGCTGTGTATGTAAAGTGGCCATTTTTCAGATGAGGAGGCACAGGCAACTTAAATAACTTGCCCAAGGTGACACCCACCTAGAAAGTGTGGGTCAGGACGGGAACCCAGACGTTAGAGCCCATTGCCCTCCACCTGTCAACAATATTTGTCAAACTACCCCATAAATGAATTCTCCAGGAATTTGATTAAAATATACATTTCCAGGCCTGGGCATTCCTTGGGCTTCAGATTCATAAACCCAGGAATCGGGATTATTATTATTATTTTTTTTACTTTTTTATTTTTATATTTTTATTTTTTTCAATCGTAGTTGACATACAATATTATATTAGTTTTAGGGATACAACACAGTGATTAGACATTTATATAAATTATGAAGTGATCACCCTGATAAATCCAGTACCCATCTGACATCATACATAGTTATTATAATAATACTGACTATATTCCACATGCTATACTCCACATCCCCATGACTATCTTGTAACTACCAATTTGTACCTCTTAATTCCTGCCACCCTTCACCCATTCCCCTGCCCCCGATTATGATAACCATCAAAATGCTTTCTGTATCTGTGGACATGTTATTGAATTATACACAGCCTTATTAACCAATGCTAATCTGGATTTTTAAAAAAACAAAATCTATATTTTCTATAATCAGGAGACACTGAGGATCAGCAGACTGGTGGCGGATGCTGGGGTTCGCAGATTGCCCCCAGGCCAGTACTAATCCTGCTTGAATCCTAGCCTCTGCCTGTCCCCAGCTCTCTGTGAGCTGGGACCTGCCTGCTGCTTCTCCTTTATGGGTGGCCGTTTAGGAGCTGGAGCATTTGCTGGGACATCGGCACCTTTATTAAAATCCTACAGTCTGATGGGGGAAACTGAGACTCAGCTGTCCTATTTGGCCCGGATTTCCTGCACAGTCGGGATGTCTACGTCCTGCAAAGACCCTTTGCACTCAGCTAGTCCATCCTGTGATTATAGAGATGTTGAGGTATGGATTGGGAGGTGACGCCCAGTCGGTCACTCGCTCATTAGCACTCATGGGGCTCCTAGTGGGCACTCCTTCAGTGCCATTCGGGCCACTGGAGTTTGCCCTCAGGGAGGTCTCCCTCTGGGGAGGGGGAACACAGTAGGGGTGATCAACTCTTCATGGGGCAGTGAGACAGGCTTCACGGAGCAGGGACTCCTGAGCCAGCCTTGAAGGAGTAATAGAGGAACTTGGCAGGGGAGAGTGGGAGGGAGAGGTATGCTGAGCAGGGGGAACAGCATGGACAAAGGCTGGGAGGTGTGAAGGGCGTGGCCTGTGATGCCCGTGGAGTAGGGAGAAGCCAGGGAAGGACGAGGGACATAAAGGTGGGCTGCGTTGTAGAAGGCCTTGAAGACCTTGCTGAGGAGTAGGCCAGTGTAGTCTATCTTTGCCCGAGCCATAAAAATCACAATGCGGATTCCTGGGCTCCACCCTGGACCTCCAGAGCCAAACCTGGGGGGAGGCCCTAGGAAGGCAGCAGGGGGAAAACCACCAGTGAGTTGCCCTGGTTATAACACAACCATTTACCAGCAGGTCTGGCATGACCTGAGGATTGCCACATTCTGGGCAGTGACTCAGAACTGATGTGTCTTATACAGCATGATCCCAGGGTCACAGAAAGCCCAGGCAAGGGTGGGGAGGCTGTCGCCTAAGGTTTTCACAGTTTCCTGATTTGAGGTCAAATAAGTGAGAGGACAGAACCTTTCCTGGAGCCCTCCTGGAGGAAGTTCAGGGTCAAAGAGCCCACTGCCCTCAGCTGATCTCCATGCATCTGGGAGGCAGGCGGAGATCAAAGCTCCCAGCGGCTTTGTTTCCTCGTATTTGTGGAATTGGGCTTTTATGAGAGTTAATGGCAACATGTTTTCTAAGGTACTTAACACAATTTTCAACACATAGTGTGTTTAAAATAAATGTTAATGTCTGTTGATACCTGTCAAGAAGTATAGTCTGGAGGTTAAGAGCATGGACTCTGGAGCCAGTTTGCCCAGAGGCTGGCCTTGCTACTTACTAAGTAGCTGACTTCTCAGGACCTTAGTTTCCCCATTTGTGAAATTGTAATGACTACTTTATACCATTGTAGTGATAATGAAGTGAATTACTAAGTGTCAAGCATACAGAACAGTGCCTGGTATGAAATAAGCACTATATATTTGTTAAATAAATAAATGAACCCCATTAGATGGGGTTTAGTCTACCCTTTTTGCAAGTCAGAGATGCGTGCAGTGGCCTTGCCTAAGGTCCCATGTTTTGGAGTGACGGAGGGATGCGAACCTGCTTCCCTTCCCAACTTGTGTTCTTTCCCACTGTCCCAGTTTGCTGGGGTGACCAAGAGGGACATATTTCCCAGTATTACTCATGGCCGACAATGTGATGTGCCGGGTCATGTTTGGCCACACTTCCCTTTGGCTAGTCTAGAAGAGAGGCCAGTGGCTTGCTTGGACGTTTTATGAACTTGCCCTTGCAAGAGTGTAATTGAGAGAATTCCGGTGGCAGCTGGAGAGTCCTGCAGGATCCAGCATCAGATGAGCCATATCCCTGTTAGTTTATTGTGTGACTTCCAACAAGACATCTCTTAGCTAGAGGCACGGGCTTGAAGACAGGGGCCCCGGGTTCGAATGTGAGTTTGCTGCTTCCTATCTGTGATCTGGAAGCAGTTGCTTAACCTCTCTGAATCTCAGTTTGCTTGTCAGTAAAGTAGATATTGGTAGGGGGGCTGTTTAAGAGATAATTTTTATAGGCATCTTGCCTTTGGTTCAGTAATTGCCTTTTCTCTCCCCATTTAGGACAGAGTTGCTTCTACATATCTAGCATCTGCATTTATTTCTTCTTCAAATACTTATTGAGTACCAGTATTTGCCAGGTACCATGCCAGTTGCTACTGACAAAGAGCGCTGGACAAAATCCTCGTTCTCCTGGAGTTTAAATTCCAGTTGAGAAGACAGGCAATACATAAACAAATACATATATACAGATCTACACCCCTTAACTGTAATTCTGAAATCCATAAGCTCTGAAAACCAAAAGTTTTTTCATAACTCTTTGGAAGCATGACCTGATATGAACTAAACACGAGGCTCTTTGGGGTCTTCATTTTTCTTCCTTGGTGTGAATGCGTGTCTGTCTTGCTACAGAGATATTCATGTGATGAGTTGTGGAGTGCTGTTCTGGACATGTGGGGGCGGGGGTGCTTACGTCAAGTGGTATTTTACACACGATGACCTTTCTATAATCTGAGTAATTCTGAATTCTGAAACACGCTTGGCCCCCAGGATTTCTCATGAGAGAATGAAGACAGTGCTAGGAGGAAAAGTGAAGTAGGCTGAGGGCGAGGTCAGGGGCCTCTCTGAGGAGGGACATTAGAAAGACAAGGGGCAGAGGCCTGGAAGAACGGGCCAGGTGGAGGGGACCACGGTAGAGGAGATCTTGTCCATCCCACCAACCCCACTTCTTGGCGCCCCGCTCTGCGTGCACAGTTCTGTCTCAGTGCATATGTCTGTGCCTTTCCAAGAAGTGGTGTTGCCTGTGAAGTTTCATGTTTGGCTCTGACTGACTCATTCTCACTCTAGAGGTTCCCATGGGCCTCCTCACCACCTTTTTTTGTTTAAAAAAATTCAGAGTCTTGGCTAAAGCAGGCTTGGGTGACTCGCAGGGGACAATTGCTAGCTGGGCCAGCATCTGAGTGCCTTCCTCCTTTCTCCAGTGAAAGAGGGAGGATATGGGTCCTGGCGAGGGGAGGAGAGGGTGGTCCTCAAGAGTCTGGAGGAACAGGTTTCCTGAGGGACATGTGGGTAGTTCTGAGCAGTGCCTTTATCAAGGGGCTAACAGCCTCCAGCCTGCAGAGCCAGCTTACGAAGATGAAAGCAGCATGCGTCTGGAGTGGCAGCACTAGGTTCACTGTTTACAGTCACTCAGCAAACACGCCAGGGGCTGGGGACACAACAGCCTATGACGTGAAAGCGAGAGCCCTGGTGGAGCTGGTAGTCTAGTTGGGGGAGGTGACTCCATGAAGGTGACTTTTGAGCTAAAACCTGAAGTAAAAAGACCTGTGGCCATCTGGGGAAAGTGATCCTGGCAGAGAGACTAGCAAGTACAGAGGCCCCGAGGTGGAAATAGACTTTGTGTGTTTGGCCCACAGCAAGGAAGTAGATAAGGTTGGATGGAACTGAGGGTAGGGACATAGGTCAGGGAGGTAACCTGCATACCTGCATTATCTCATTCAATTTGTAGAATAAACCTACAAGGTAGCAACTGCCCTTATCCAGATTTTACAGATGAAGAAACAGGCACGGAATGGGTTAGTAACTTGTTCAGGATCACACAGCTGGCAGGTGGCAGAGCAGGGCCGTGGACCCGGCTGCTC